TCTTGAAAATAAACACAAGAATCGTTTATAAATAACAAAAATAAAAATTACAACCCTCTTGAAAATAAACACAAGAATCGTTTATCGGCTCTTGCTTGTGTGGGTTCTTGGCCGGTGACGGAGACGTTAATATCCATGGACTACCAAGCGACCAGATCAGATCTGGAGCTTCGTTGATTCGCGAAGGAGTCAAGAAGCCGAAGCAATTATCTCGGTAACAGCGAGATAACCACTCTTCTCGAGATCACCGCAACGGGGTAATCTCAAGGGAAGAACACGGGAACTGCAGATCTGACGAACTCCTCTTCTTCGTGCTGACGAACTCGCTGTGATCTCCTCTCTTCTGAAATTCGTGCTCCTTCAGTCTTTAGTTCGGCAGGGCTTTGCCAACGCTCGAGAATTCCAGATCTAAAAAAACTAAGGCCCTGAGGCTGTATTTATAGGCTTCGGGACCCCTGTTTTCAGATAAGAATGACCGATTCCCTCTTATCCTCATTTGTAACCACTTAATCACATTCTTGGATGATATCAGATCAGTTAAAACAAATCCAGGTGGTTAACGATCGAAAAACAGTTTTAAACTGCCAAAATTAGCTTTTTCGAGTTGCAGACACCCGTGGGTGTCTCTGTTGGCCTTCTTGTTTTGATGATGATTTACAAATAATTTACTACTAATGTTGTTTGTCTAGTGTTTGTACATTCATATGTATTGTAGACAAACAACGTTGTTGGAGGATGGATAGAATAGAGCTTCAACGATCATATCCAAAGGAGGTTGGCAGAATGTCAGTGAAGCTTATGCAATTCAAGTTAAAGATAGAGTTCAAGCTTCATCCGCAAATATATCAAGTCAAGCCTATTGAAGATCAAGATCAAGCTTTGGTATATTTAGTTTAGCTTTTATATTATGTATGTTAGATACTCTAAGCTCAATATCATATACACACACGTATTTGGTTTCTAAGCTCAAATATTATATTCTCAGTTTATAGACTTAACAATCATCATATACATATTTTATCAAGTCTATATAATCATTGTGCAAAGTTTCAAAACATTGTTTATGTCAAAACATCAAACTTCATGTATATCACTTTTTTCATGTTTTGAACACTTTTGCAAAATAATGAGATTTCATAATTGGGAAATGCAAATTGGAAAATTCTTTTTGTAACATGTTCAAAATATCATTTTCAAACATTTCTCAAAGTTTCATCAAGTTTGGAATTGATTTGTTATGTTTAAAGGAATTTACAAATTCACGTTTTCGTTCGTGCACATGTTCGTGCATGTTTTACAAAACTGATGAGTTTTCGCAAATGAGAAGTGATATTTGAAAAAATCTTTCTCTGACATGTTTATCTACATGTTTAGAAAGTTTTCTCCAGTTTTTACTATTTTTGGAGTTGATTTACTGTGCCAATTGATTTTACAAAATCGTATATGTTAACAGTTTTTCAGAAACTGTAAATTTGTATTCAAATATTTATTTCTCTCAACTGGGAAACGATTTTTCAGAAATTCTTTCTCTGACATATTATTCTACATGTCTAGAACATTCCCACAAAATTTCATAATTTTTGGAGTTCATTTACTATTTTAAATTGATTTTACAAAACAGCTACACACTGCTACAGTACTCCGGTCGACCGGAAATGTCTTTGGAGGTTGGTTACTGTAGCTAACGGCTATATTTTCCAGATTTATATATATCCGTTATTTTTGTCTTTTTGCTTGGTTTTCTTGGGTTTTTGGGCTTGTTTCATGAGCCTATATATACCCCATGCCCTCATACCTCTAAGGTAACTCAAGAAAATATTTTAAAATAGTTTAACAAGGGTTTAAACTTGTTTAAGGTTTTGTTTAAGTTTGGTTTAAAAAGCTTTTAAGCAAATTGAGAGTTTGTTTTGAGGAATCAATTTCACAAGAGCTTGAGGAGATCATCTATTGGTGTTTGAGCATCCAACTCTTCTCCTTCCACTCTTGATCTATTGAGAAGTTTTCTAAACTCAATCTAGCTTTATATTTCATATTGTTTGATTATCATTTTATTAAGCTAGTATTCATATTGAGTTTAGTTGATTTTATTTTCTCTATGTTTATACACACAACCATTTGAGCTTATTGTATTTACATTCATAGTATAATTGGGTTGTGGGATTGTGTAACTTAGAGAGTGAGCTTATAATTCGTTCTCATTCATTGTAGAGAACAAACACTTTGTATTGAGCCTAATTGTGAGGATTCACTTGTAATACACTTGTACACCGAGAGAAGTGTGTGGTGAGAGACGGGGTCGAATCCAAGAGGAGTGGCGTCGGTTGACGTGCCTAGGGAGAGGTTGTAACCGAGCACTTGAGGAGGAGGACACGGGCTAGGACCAACACTTAGTGTGTGAGGTGTGATTACATAGTGATTGTATTGTGAGGTGTAAACGTTGTTCGGGTGAACGTAGAAAACCCGGTTGTGATAGTGGAGATCTCCTCGAGGTGAGGAGCGGAGACGTAGGTCGTGGGGACCGAACTCCGTGATCATAATTGGTTGTTTGTGATTGTATTGGCGCACTTACTTTTATGTTCATATCTTATATCGCCTTTGTATATTGCTTGTTGATTATATTGCCCACTATCTAGTTTAGATTGTTTACCCTTGAGTTTATATATCCTTGCACATACATTGTCTATATCTCTTTGTTAGGATATATCTTGTTGTCCATATTGCTTATTATAGGCTGTCTAAAAATCACAATAGATAGCTTATCCTCCGTCAAACACCGATGATGGAAGTTACAATCTGACGACTTCCAGAAGGCTACAATTTGAAGACTTTCACGTAGATCGCTGAAGGTTACAATCTGACGACCTTCACGACAACCGATGAGAACTCTAGTTCAACAGCATTCGCGGAACTCATCACCGTGCTTTAAGACCAAAACGCGGAGGTCCTCCCTGTGTATCAACACCAAAACGCGGAGGTCCTCCCCGTGTGTCAACAGTAAAACGTGAGGGTCGAACCCGCGTTACAACACCAAAATGCGGAGGTCCTCCCCGTGTGTTAACAGTAAAACGCAAGGGTCGAACCCGCGTTACAACACCAAAACGCGGAGGTCCTCCCCGTGTGTCAACAGTAAAACGCGAGGGTCAAACCCGCATTACAACATTAAAACGCTGGAGTCGGACCCGCGTTACAAAACCAAAACGCTGGAGTCGGACCCGCGTTACAACATTAAAACGCTAGGGTCGGACCCGCGTTTTTCAACACCCAGCGAGTACCCAACTCCGCGTCTCAATTCTAAAACACGGAGTTAGCGGAGTTAGGATCCTGAACGCCCATGTGGGCGTTTGACTCGTTCAAACACGAGCTGAACGGTTGCAGGAACCGTTTTCCCTCCACGATTTGAGGAACGGTTGCAGGAACCGTTTTCCCTCCACGATTTGAGGGATTTCCGCCCCACTATGGAGAGAATTAAGAGGGCAATTACACCCCTTAATCCCTTATAAAAGCGAGCAAACTCAACTGAGTTAAGGGGCTGGCTTTTTGGAACGAAAGAGGGGGCTGGGTTGATCGGAGAGACTGGCATTTTTCGGATCTGGGAATTGGCAGCAACAGGAGAGATCCTTGGGCGAGCTTTTGAGGGGATCGGCATCATCCTCCAACGAAGATTATCTTCAACTTCGACAACAGAGAGCTTTGATCCTTGGCTTATCAACCGAACTTTCGGTTCAAATCAACTCTTTTTCAAGAGTTCAAACTCGATCAGAGTTATCAACTCATCAAAAGTTTTAAACTTGCCACGTAAGTTCTCCACAACGTCAAATCGTGAGGAGAAGACATCGTTCCAGTGAATCTAGACATCGGATCGTCAATGGAGAGCAAACTCGACGCGAGCATTCGAGGGAGGCACTCCATCGCTACCGTGAAGAACCCAGTTTTAAACAAAGAGGAAGAACCAATTTCGTTCTCCTCTCTTTTGTAATCGAATTGTAACCGAGATTAAAAGAATCAAAGTCAAATTTCTTTTCTTCTCTTTATTGCAATTTTCCCTAAAACAAAAGATGGCGACTCCGCTGGGGACAATCTTCTCTGACGAAGAAGTGGTGGTGCAATCCGATGTTCATCTCACTGGAACAACCGTCGAAACTCTCGTGGTAGAGTTTGATCAAGCCAAGTGCCGAGACACCATTAGGTGTCTCGGCCAAGCCGAGACACCTATGGGTGTCTTGGTTTGGCTCAGGGCTTAGTTTCGGGCATTCCGTCTGTTTTCATCGTATCTTTACCGTCTGAACTCGAAATTACGTGATTCAAGATGCATTGGAAAGCCGATGAGGAGATCTACGAGCTTTCATGATTGAATCACATGTAAAGTAAATGGGACACGAGGGGCGTTTCGTCTTTCGTATGTGACGCGAAGCTCCCGATCGGTTCATGTTTCCGTTATTCCGAAGTTCCGTCGTTTCGCATGGTCCGTCGACTCACTTCATGCGTTTGTCATCGTCAAATGAGCTTCTGTGACTCGAATAGCGACGTTCATCGTCTTCTCTCTGTCTCGAGTCGCGTGCGGGGACCTATAGGCAATTTTTGACGCCTACAATCCGGTCGACCGATGTCGGGATTTTCAGTTTCCTGATTCGTTTGTGATTCTGTTTTGGGCTGGGATCCTATATATACCTAAACATTTTTAGGGTTTAAAGAACACGTGAAAAAGAGGGTTTTGAGAAGATTCTTTCAGAGAGATCTGGGAGAGATAAAAACCTATTTGTGGGCATTGTAATCTTCTTCAATTAATCAAAAGAATTGTGTGGTGTGGCTCCCAAGGACGTAGGAACGTTGCCGAACCTCGTTAAATCTGCTGTGTTCTTTCTTGTTTATCTTTCCTGCAATTTTTCTTTTATTTGCGGTGATTTTCCTACTTGCTAAACTCTTAGCACAATGTACGGAAGGGCACGGGTTCGATTGATTGATTGTTTCGAATCCCCAACATGTAATGTAGACCTCCGAATGTTTTCTTCCTTCTCAATTTCTTGGGTTAACTCCCTTTTCAGGCTATTGAAGCCAGCTTCGATATCTTTTGTACAATTTTGCACATTTTTCTTCTCTTCAAAATAGAAATATATGCTAGCTGAGGCCATTGAAGATGTACATTTTGATCAATGTTAATTTTATTCTACCTTCTAAATTTGGGAGAGACAGAAGCAACGCTTATGGGCATAGTAAAAATTAAGCGCATTCCTTAACCACAGAGGAAAGCAAAAGAATAGCCTCCCCAATGGTCAGAAAAAGACATTCGGGTTTGATGAATTTGTCTGCTTCGTTCGCTCGCTCTAGTTTCTCCATCACATCTTCCACAGGGTTTACAAATACGACCTGAAATCCAAACCAAATAAGAAAACTATACATGTTCATACATTTGATAGGGAAAAAAATATATAACAGAAATTTATTTCGTACGTCCAGGCCTCTTTTCTCCATTGACTTCTTCAAGTCCATTAGGAATGCAATCCCGCTTGTATCTACAGCATTCACAACTGAAAGGAGCCACCTAGTGCATCAGTTTTGTACACATTACATAATACTTGTGAAAAAGAGGTTGAAATCAAACAGAGAAGGGAAACATAATTAAATCGATAGCAGGAGAGCCCCAGGCCTGCATGAACACACAATTACACTGGAACAAGCGTATTTACGCAGTGGCGGAGCTAAATTTTGTCCAAACA